TCTGAGCAAGGACTTGGGGATGTGCTTGAGTGACTGGTTCTAACATGTCCATCCAACTGCTCATAAGCCTTTGGAGTAAAATCTGGAATCTTGTCATCCATTTCATCATGTCGGCTGATCCTCGATTGAATCGCACGAATTGCATAAACCTGTATAGGAATACATTGGTTGATCCTTTCACGAAATATGGTCGTAGTACTCGTTTGAAGTAATCTACTCCTGCTCCTGGTGGCTCATTAGCCTTCAATGAATCTCTGTCTAATACACGCTTGTATACAGCTGCTTCTCCTTCTAATCTGTTTCTCAAAGCTGGTCCTCTCTTCTCATCTTCCAGCTCGGTGATATCACACCAATCGTCTATGGCATCCTCATAGGAAAACCATGAAGTCTTTCCATCATAAGATGGGGGCACCTTTGTAGTGACCTGTGTTGTCATTGCTATTGCTGCTGGTTCTCTTCTCACATGCCTATTCACGTAGGCTGCTGGCTCATAAGCCACATCCGCATCAGGCTCTTCCCAGTCGTCTATCCAATCCATGGCTGTTTGCCCACTAGCAATTCTATGCCTAGGAAAGGAGCTCACCTGGGTCTTCCAGGATCACTGCTCCGCTACCACTGAAAGAGTGACTAGGGCGTACACGGTAGAGGTGCAGACCGCTAGTGTCTTTTATGCGCAGAGTCTTATCCTCTTGCTCTTTTGAGCCTTGAAGCAGTCAAGCATGGACACACTATATCAGCTGTTGGAGTGGAACCCTGTACAGGTGGGCTCTACTTTTCAGGGGGGGGAGTCTGTATTGAGAAATCAATTCGAGGGGGGAGGAAGGGGGGGGGTTGAATTGAGCAATCAATTATTCGACCCGGACTCGCCGACACTTGCTTCGCAAGTCAAACTCAAGGTTCCCCTAAAGGGCTACCTTTCGTGACCTGAAAAGAAGACACCCGTCGAAGCGTCGGTCCTCGAATTGACCTCCGTCACGCCACCCATGTGGGTCCTGTCTCGCCGTGCCTGTATCGCCTGCCGCTCCTCCTCCAAGGTGTCTTGGTCCTTGGCCGCCTCTGCTGCCTACGCATGCGACGGATGCCAAGTCGCTGTGGATGTTTTCCAAGTCGCTGGTGTTCGACCGGTCACGTCACGTGAACTCCTGTTGAACTCCCCTCAGCTGTCCCAAGATCTGCTGTCCTGGGGGGATGTGTTTGATATTTTTGTTGATCCAATCCATGCTGATCCGGCCATGATCCGAACAAAAAGACCTGCAAGACTCACCATGACACCTCCAAGCCTCAGTCACATGAGTCTGGCACCAAACAAGCTTGCTGGCAAAATTGGAACCCTATCACAGACCATCCGTGGGCTTGGCATATTTATACATTGACAATTGGGGTGGCTGACTGGGGTCAATTGATCGGCATAAATTTCATCAATGGATGGCCTGCGGCCCTGGATCTGCCCTCGAACATTCGAGGGTGCTTGGAGTCGCAGCCAGGGTGGCTGGAGGCTCCAGTCGTACCCTCCTCCAGATTGACATGGACCCCAAAACCACTGGGTTGTAGAGGAAACTTGTCTTCCACGGTTGAATTCTAAGGGTACATGGGATCATCTGCGAGAGTGTAGCTTCTGAGAAGGTCTCGCCAACTAGCTTCTGAGTAGCTTCTAACCTCATAGCCATGGCCTCCAACCTAAGAGCGATGGCCTCCACACGAGTAGCGATGGCCTCCATCCTAAGAGCGATGGCATGGCCTCCACCCTAGTAGCGATGGCCTCCATCCTAAGAGCAATGGCCTCCACACGAGCGATGGCCTCCATCCTAA